CCAGTGTGAAATCTAATTTCCCTGAATACCAGCTGCAAACGTGAGTCCGAATTGTTAATGCTTTGGCCGTCCGGAGGGGATATTAACGTAGACCTAATTAGCAAAGCTTGATCACTCCCTCCTCAAAAAACCTTCACTAAAACAGACGGTTCACATATCCAGGGGTCAGAAAAAGCGAAGTATCAGCCCAAACGCGCATCCCCGACCGCCCTTCTCCAGTCAGTTTCCCAAGAGACTCGTCCATTCCCCCCTCCAGCTGTGTGGGACTACAAACCCCATCATCCTCGGCCAGCAGGGCTCCTTGCAATATGCCTACGCCTCTTGCCAGTGGCTCAAGCGGGCCCGGGCCTCAAGCCTCGGCTTCTCCCTCAGCAGCTGCCACCTTCCTCCTTCCACGGGCAAAGCCGGAAGAAGATTGAAGCCCAAAGCGGAAGCGGCCCCAGCCGGCAAACCATAGAGCGAGCTAGGGAAAGCCCGAACTTCCGCTAAAAAGAGATGCAGTCCCGCCATTGGCCAATGGCAAGATTCCATAGAGAGAACCAAGGTGTAGCGCGTACTTCCGGCGAAGCGGGCGGGCTACATTTGGACCAGATGGCCATAGAGTAGTGCTGATCTAGCCTATAGTAAGCCTCTCCGTCTCTCTCTCTCTATGGAATGCACCGCTGGGTTGCACAAAACGCCTGGAAGCTCTTTTTCAGGCTAACAGACCTTTATTAAAAAATAGCTGCAGTTCACTTCCTCAGATGCAACAGAGGGGCTAAATTGATGTAGGATTTAAATTGGAAATTTAAATTGGGGGGGAAGGTAATCTGCATTTGCATGACCCCCCCAAGCTAAATGCTGAGTGAGCTCTAATAGCTGTTGCAATAGCAACCCTAAGGGATCTTTTGGCACCTTGAAAACAAAGCAATGAATTAAGAGCGATTCTGGGAGTTGAAGTCCACACCTCTTCAAGTTGCCAAGGTTGAAAAACACTGCAATAGAGGAACCCCTGCGTTGCAAAGCCAGGTTTAGCCATCAGAAGCCTTTTTAGACACTCATTCTCGTATCCAAGTGGACCCCACTTCTCAGAAACTGGGGAGCAACTGCCAAAATGTTGGGAGGCGGCAGTGTTCTTCAAGCTGGGTTCCTCCAGATGGGATTTCACCTTAGACCATTCACCATGGAACCTCAACATCTGATCATGTTGCATCTCCAGTACTGGTTCCAGAGGTGGAGGGGGGGCACTGTAAGAACAGAAGAAGAGCCCTGAGGCTGGGTCAGGCCAGGGGCTCACGGAGTTCCGCGTTCTGTGACATCCAGCAGCCAGCCAGGTGCATTCAGGAAGTTTACCCGCAGGAGACACAAGGATAATCCTGTTCCGCTGCCAGGAGCTGGCATTTTAAGGTCCATTTTAAGATCCATTGCCTGTTAATTCACGAGTTTAACCTACTGCCATCCAGAGCAGCAGCTGACAACATCTTGACCCCTCTATGAATTTCAGTACCATCTATATGGATGGCCTCTCCACAGTTCAGTTGAGATCACGGGGAGAACAGATGTTGATTTTCCCAGTAAAATTATCCAAATAAAAGATGGATCTCAGTGAATTCCCCTTTGCTATTTCTGGTTCTGATTCAATGGGATGATTGGGGTGTCTCCTTCGTTTTGTACCATTTACGTACTTATTTCTGCACCTTCCGCCATTATGCTCCCCTCCACCCTAGAAAAGTAAGGGGAAACCAATCTGCTTTTCCACTTCAGGGCAAAGGGGACAGGGTGGCCAGATGCTCACATTCTTTGGCAGAGCCTGGTGGACGTGGCCCTGGCTTCCCCTCCCCCAGGCTTTGTAGCCAGAGCCCAGCGCAGACTTTATTCTCCCCCCTCATTGCTCTTTACAGAAATGCTGGCCCAGCAGAAGCTCCAACCAGCTGCCGAGGTGACACCTCGCTCAGTGAAAGGAGTAGGATTAACAGCTCTGAAGAGCTTTCTTTAGGCCCAGCTGAGGAAGGCTTCTCTGCAACTCACCCCCGAGGAGTGGGATGTAACTAATGTGAAAAGCACTGAGTAGCAGGGAGAGGGGAGGTATTTACGGGTGCTTTGGCATCTGGGTCATATTGTACTTTTTTTTTCCTGCCTTCAAGTCAGTGTTGACTCCTGCAACTGCCTGGACGAGTCCCTGCAGTTTTCTTGGCAAGGCTCTTCAGAAGTGGTTTGCCATTGCCTGCTTCCTAGGTCTGAGAGAGAGGGACTGG